GCCCCGGGCCGGCACCCACCCCTGCCGGGAGACGCCCGCCTGCCCCGAGCCGAGCCGCAGCCTCGACCGAGCGGGCTCCACGCCCGCGAGCTCCCGAGGCGGAAGGGGCGCGGCCCGGGAGGGCAGGGGACCCCGGGCGACGAAGGGAGTCCCCCTGGACCCGGGCGTCCCCTAACTTCTCGCGGACTTCGCTGCGGAGACGCGGATCTTGGGAAAGTTGAGCCCCCTCTGGCCGTGCAGCAACTTACACCGGGCTGCGGGGGTGTGTCCCCGCGTGTGGCAGCCTCCGGCCCCCCACCCTCCACCTGACTCCCCGCGCTGTCACGAGCTCCTTGGGAATGGACCAGACCATTCCCGAGAGCTGGAAGGGAGCCCGGCGTGGGGCGCGGGCAGGAGGCCTCGAGAGGAACCATTTCCCCTCTATCGAGTATTTCAAAATGCAGTATTTATGAGCTGCCTCACTTAGGGGCCCCCTCGCTCCCAGGGCATCAAAGCAGGTTTGCAACCGCAAAGGGCCACCAGTGTGAACGCGCCTTCTCCGGGCTGGCTGAACTGAGGGAGGTGCTCATTAAAAAGCGCACCGCAGCCCCCTGGTGCGTGTGGTGGGCGGGGTCTAAGGCCCTTGGGTCTCGCAAGGCCTCCTCCTGGCTGGTGGGAAGTCTGTGCGGGCCAGGCAGCCTTTGAGCCACCCAGGGAAGGGAAGCGGAGGATGTGAAAGGCGGGAGGCCACAGGCACTAATGCGAGACGGTGCAGGCTTGGGCCGACTGACCTCCCTCTTTACAGAGGGGAAACTGAGGCCCAGCTGCACACTCTGCTTCCCCAGCTCTAGCGAGTCCTGCTCAGCGCCAGGATGCTTTGGGGAGGCCCCATGCTTGAGCTGAGCTGAACGACAGAAAGGACCCCCTTCCCTGTTGAGGCCACACCCTCCTTGGGTTCTCTGTCCCCCACTGTACTCAGGCCTCCGGTGGGAGGGAGTCAGGGTATTTATGGAAAGACTTAATCCCTCCAGCAGCCCCAAGGAGGCTGAACGGGCTGCTGGCTAATCCCCTCTCCCTGGAAGCGCCTTCCCGTGCTGGGGGCCGCCACAGGTGCACAGAGAGGCTGTTTTCCCAGCTGGAGTTTAGGTCAGCCTTGTAACCTTGACCCAGGGACTTCCCCGTCCTGGACTTGGAACAGAGGGGCGAGGCCTAATGGCACAGAGCACTTGTGGGCCTGGCGCCGGCTCTGCCTCCGACTTCGCCCTGCAGCACCCCTGCTTCAAAGGTGAAGAGACAAGCTTGTGGAGGCAAGGTGACCGGCCCAAGGACACCTGGCTGGCGAGTGGCAGGGCCGGGCCTTGAACCCTGACCCTGCAGTGAGTGGCTGGGCTCACCAGTGCACCCCTGCGCGCACACCCACGCTCACACCATTGAGAGGTTGCTAAAGGATGACCCACGCCCCGTGACACTGACGTCAGCCATGTGCGCCAGGCCCCCAGCACCCCTCGTGGCCGCTGTCCCCCCTTGGGTGACCTGACTCCTTGCAGCAGTCCCTCATTATTATTTTACATTTCACCATAGGGCACATGTGCGCGTCAGAGAGAGGAGGTGAAAAAGGTGAGAAACCCCCCAGCATGGTCATGCCAGTCCCCTCTCCATCTCTCCTTTGGGGATTTGGGGCACACGCATAGCTTGTTTTACAAGCCAGCAGGCCCAGGACTCAAACCATGCAGCTGGCAGTGTGGGACCCACCTGCCCTCACCACCACACCACCAGCTGGCCTGTTATTCTTTATTTGTTTGTTTATTTTTGGAGAGCTTTTCGCCATAGGGCGCGTGCGCTCGCCAGACAGACAGAGACAGAGAGCCAGAAAGCGAGAAATCACCCCCCAGGGGGGATGGCCACGCCGCAATCCCTTCTTCATTCTCCTCTCGGGATCTTGGGCACGCACGCACACATGCCCGGCGTAAGTTTAACCCGCCGGGTCCGGGACACAAACCACGGTCAACTACGTGGGAGTCCAGCGACACAGCCATTACGCTAACTGCTGGGCCCAATTTTGTTTATTTATTTTAATGCCAGAGGGCAGGTGTACGTGGAGAGAGAGCAAGCACTCCCCTCGTGGGGCCTGGTCATGCCATAGCCTTTTTCCTCTAGTTCTCCTTCCCATCAGGATCCTGTGCACGCACACATGCATGCACATACACACACACACACTCACACATGCTCACATGCTCACTCACACATGCGCACACACACACACACATATGCTTACGCACACATACACACACACACACTGTGTTTTTCAGACTGCCAGGGTCAGGATGTGAACTGTGGTAGGGCATGTGGGATCTGGCTCGCCATGGACAGCACTTACTGGTCACACTGGAGAGCCACCTGTTATTACTGACCCCCTCCTACGGTGGGGGCACCAGCTTGAAGCACAGAGCTGCACCATGCAGCGGCCCGGGGCACAGTGGGCAAGGATTTTGCTCAAAGTCATATGGCCAGGTCATGGGAGGCCCAGGCCAGACCCTAGGGGTCCCCAGACAAGCAGGCGGGAGTTCTGTTGAGGCCCTGCTCCCACCCACACTCTCGCTTCCTGTTGGGAGGCTATGCAGCAGCTGTCCTGGCCCCCAGAGGCGAAGGCTGCAGGGAGACCGCCCACTGTGCCCTGGGCCAACCGCCTGCCCTGTTCCCACAGGGTCCCGCTGACTGGACCGCAGCCTGCACTACTGCCTCTCAGGAAAGTGCATTTCCTAAAGAAGGCAGAAAGGAAGGGGGACTCTGTCACTGTGCTGTCGGGGTACTCACCCAAGGGCCTCGCTGGTCAGCACAGCTGCCCCCAGCTGGGATTGGAGCCCGTTCTGTCTGTCTACCTAGGCAAACTGTCTCATTCCTCGCCCCTGTCTTCCTTAGAGATCTCTGTCAAGAAGTCAGGGCGAGGCACTGTGGCGACTTGGGGCCTCTGTGGGGCCTGGCTCTGCAGAGGCCTAACCAGGCCCAACTTCCAGGCTGCTCTGCCATTCACCCACTTTTCTGTCCTGGGCCTCCTCTGGGACACCCAGACGTTAGAAGTCAGATGACTCCTAGAGCCAGCAGACTGCGTAGTGGTTACGTCGCTGGACCCTCACGTAGTCGACCACTGTTCGAATCCCGGACCTGGCTTACTCCCAGCACGTGTGCGTGCCCAAGATCCCGAGAGGAGAATAGAGAAGGGATTGTAGTGTGGCCATCCCCCCTGGAGGGGGGGGGGATTTCTCGCTTTCTGTCTCTCTGTCTCTCTCTGTGTCTGGCGAGTATATGTGCCCTATAGCAAAAACCTCTCTAAAAAAAGAAGTCAGATGACCTCTGCTAGGGCAGCCAACTTGAGCAAAGAAACTGAGGACACCCAGCTAACTTCAGCCGCAGTTAACATGTGTAATCGTGTATAATCTAGAAGGCACACGTGCTCACCCGAGAGCGACCGGTGGAGGGCGGCATGCCCCCAGTGGGGTAAGGTCACACTGCAATCCCTCTTCCTCCCTTTCTCCATCCTACCTGGGTTTGGGGCTTGCCTGGCATGTTTTTCAAGATGCGAAGTCTGGGATTCAAACCACGGTTGGCCATGTGGGACCCAGCTTCCGGTGCACAGGGTTTAACCATAGTGTCACAGGGTTGGCCCGGCCACTAGCAGTTCCTGGTATGACTGTGTCCCATGCAGTGATGAGGCACCCGTATTTAACCCGGCAACCCTGTCTCACCAACCACTTCCGGGCCGAGACTCGCATAATTCAGTCCAGGAAGGATTGTCTCTGGCCCTCGGGCCCAGCCTCTGTGACCTGCAGAGGTACTCTGGAAGGAATGGCCCAGGAGTGGGTCCACAGTCCTGCAGGCAGGGCCCCCAGCGAGTGGGAGGTTCTGTGTTCCTCACAGGCCATGCCACATCTGAGTTCCTTTTTACTCTGGGCAAACAACACGTTCATTTACTTTTCTGTTTTCATCGAGACCGGTAGAGGGCGGGCTGGCAGGCAGCACTGCTGTGGGCCGGAGTTGGTGGCTCCCGGCTTCAGGCTGCCGTGACAGCAGTCAGCCATCCTGAGAGCGTGTGCCCGCCCTGGAGCTGCCCACGGTGCGCGGGGCCCGCGTGGTGTGCGAAGCAGCAGCCAGCCTTCTGTCTCACCGCCACTGGGGGGGGGCAGGCCTGTGCCAGAGGAAGTACATTGTACATGAATAAGCTTCCGGCCCTGTCGCCAGAGAGGAGCCCGTGAGCATAGGGAGGTTTTCGTTTTGATTTTTAACTTGCTGCGGGGTGTGTGTGGCCAGAGGGGAGAGGGGGGAAAGTGAGAAAGCACGCCCTGTGGGGATGGTCGCGCCACAGTCTCTTCTCCTCCATTCTCTTTTTGGGATTTTGGGTGCGCGCACACACGGAGTGTTCTTCAAGCCTCCAGGTCCCATAGTCAAACTGCTGTCGGCCGTGCGGGCCCCAGCGGCCTCTACCACGCCAGCTGGCCCTGGAAGTGGGGAGCTGTACCTGGGTGTGGGAGAGCCTGCTCTGCCTCGAGCTGCCGTGCAGTCAGCGGTCCGACGGTTCAGAGGGCACATAACCGGGGCCCACCGCGCCGATGTGAACAGGGGGCTTTTCCCTGCAGGGGCGTGAAGACGGGCAACGCACCTGAGCAGCTCTCCCGGGACCCCGCTCTCGCCCACTGTGCCGAGCTAGGGCGACCCCACTCTTTACATCTTTTTGTTCCTCTCATTCCGTCTGAATTTGAATTTTTTTAATTACGAAGAGAGGTGTCTTTGTAACACACTCAAGCAATACGAGCCCAGCCCTTGGGATCTGGCACGAAGCACCGCGTGCAGCCAGGCCCGAGCATTGGCGCCAGCCGTCCAGAGCCGCCGTGCGCCAGTCCTGGGCCCTGGAAGTAGTCTGACCGCTGGTGGGCCAGCCCTGCATCTGTGAAATGGGGCGATGCTGTTGACCTTTTTTTTTTTAAGAGCCATTTTGCTATAGGGCACGTGTGCTCACCAGACAGAGAGACAGAATGCAAGAAATCACCCCCCAGGGGCATGGCCGTGGCCTTGGCGTGGCCTTCTCCTATATTCTCCTGGGATCTTGGACACACATGCACACACGCCTGGTGTGAGTTTCAAGCCTCCGGGTCAGGGACTCCAACTGCAGCTGGCCATGTGGGAATCCAGCGACGTAATCATTATGCCACCTGCTGGTTCCCAGCGGATAATTTTACCATGGCTCGGCCTGGCCTCGAGGTACTGGAAGCATTTGCTTGGCATCTGTCGCCCCGTTGCCGTCATGGTGATGCGGTTTAAGGCAGAGGCCTGTCCCCACAGTTAGGCTTCTGTACAACTCCTCTTCAGACAGGTGCCTCGTGCTGCAACCCTGCTCCCAAACGCCCCCTCCGAGGGCCTCCGTGAGAGCGTCTGGCATCCCTCCAGGGCTGGCCTTGGCCCACGGGGCGTGGACGAGCTCGCCCCGCGCCATGTAAGCCCCGCCGAGAGGGGCAGAGGCAGCCATGTTGTGCCAGGGCAGCCCTCCGGAGAGGGCCTCGTGGTGCTGTCACACGGATGACAGCGATGACAGCGATGATGACATGACAGTAACAGCGATAGCAGCAACAGTGGAGGTGACAGTGGAGGTGATGGTGCCCCTGCTCCCAGGCTCCGTCCCGGTGGCTCGCAGCCTTCTGCCTGTTTGACAGATGGCTCCGAGCCGGGGGACAGACTCAGAGAGGGGACACAGTGTCCCCGGGTGCCCAGCAGGCCCACCGCCCCACTGTGTTCCCAGGCAGAGGCTGAAGTGACCTGTTGACGAGACAGCGGTGGGGACGAGAAGTCGGGCTCTGACACCCGTGTCGCAGGTCTAGATGGCCATGCCACTCTGGGCTCCCTTCGTTCCTTGTCCCCAGGGTCCCCGGAATGCGGGCTGGGCCCTCCTGTGTCGCACGCTCTTGATCTGCCCGCCCTGCCTGCTTTTCTGCCTGTCTGTCCTGCGTGTTCTGAGGTAGGTCTTTTTTAAGCCACGAGACAGCTTTTGGGACAAGACCTGTCAACTGAGGACAGATTCTGGGAGTTGCTGCCTGCCCTGAGCCACAGCCCTGCTCCCGGATGCAGCTCCACCCAAACCCAAGAAGCGCTGGGAAACGGGCGAGGCACACCGCAGCCTGGGCCACCGAGCCCGCAGAGCAGGGCCAAGACTGGGCGCACTCAAGGCAGCCCTGTCTGTGGACACACTTTCTTTCTTTTTTTCTACCTCTTTTATTTTTTTAAGGAATTATTTATTTAATTTTATTCTTCTTCAATTTGACCAGAGAGAGAGAGTAAAAGCAAGCTGCCAGGTTCAGGAAATTTGACCAGAGAGAGAGAGTAAAGGCAAGCTGCCAGGTTCAGGACTCAAACCATAGTGAGCCATGTGGGAGTCCAGCGCCCTAACCACCATGCCACCTGCCAGGCCTTGGACGTGCTTTCTTCCCCTCTTCCACTTCTTTTCCTGGCATGGTTTCAGTCCCTCCTCAGAGCCTAACCTCGGCCCAGCTGTGGCGTCCGGCCCTGTGTGTGCCCGCGGTTCTTTTCCTCCTGCACTGAGAGCCGTGGCAGAGACAATGCCCTGGGCCCCAACGTGCCTGCGTGTTTCCTTCTTTATTTTCAAAAATTTATTTCTTTCCATTTGACCAGAGAGGGACAGAGCAAGAGAGAGAAGGAAAGTGAGAAAGCAAGCTGCCAGGTCCGGGGCGCAAACCATACCCGGCCATGTGGGGGTCCAGCGCCTTAGCCACCATGCCCCCTGCCGGCCGCCCTGTGCCTCCCAACTGCAAGGACGACTTCTTACACGCTCAGCACAGCGAGCAGGCGGACATTTCTCAGAGACCCTGTGCTATCACCCAAGACAAGGTTGTTTCTCTTGACTCTCGCTCCTTTTCGAGTAAGCACAAAAGCATGCAGCAGCCCCCCAGCAGATAGCACCACCCAGCAGGCAGCACCCCCCAGCAGACAGCACCCCAGCAGGCAGCACCCCAGCAGACAGCACCCCCCAGCAGGCAG